AAAAAGTTACTCAGAATTATGTCCTTGATAACATATGTCAAGGTCAAGGTCATTGGGGTTGGGTCCCCTATTTGCTATATTTACCTTAAATTCTTTATATGAATATATAAAATGTAATATTTATTATATATTATATTTCTATATATTTTTATATATTATATTTTTATTTTGAATTTATATATATACATATATATTTATGCGTATAACAATTTACATATTAAAACGAAATAAATAATAAGTTAAAGGCTCTGATATAAATATAATAAACTAAAAAAGGAAACGGGCTAATAAGAGCCGGGTGCAATAACGCAATACACCAAGTTAAATTAATTAAAAAATCTTCTTTAATGATCTTGAAATGTTTCGTGAAATATATTAGAAATATATAAATTGTTATTACTTATTAGAAATATATTTATACTTATTAAATATATTAGAATATATTTATACTTATTAAATATATTAGAAATATATAAATTGTTATTACTTACAGATATTGCAAACATTATACAACTTATATATATATTTACAGCATATTCATTGCCCAGAGCAAAGGCGCGATTGAACGAGGCCAGACAAGATCTAGAATTACCAACTGCGACTCGTACAGCGAAAAGACAAGAACTTTTGAAGAAGTTGCAAGCATTGAGCATTTATTGCTCTCAACTCGGGGATACGAGGCCGATTTCTTTTTGTCAGTTTAGCCCTAATTCAAAGATTCTTGCTACCGCATCATGGTCAGGCTTGTGCAAATTATGGTCTGTACCTGACTGTACTTTGTTGCGCACTTTAAAAGGACATACTTGTAATGTTGGCTGTATTGTTTTTCATCCAAAAGCTACGATAACCGAAGATGTGATAGGTGATAATGCAGGACAGACTTGCACGCTGGCATCTTGCGCATCAGATGGTATATTGTTATAAATTACATATAAGATTATGAAATAAGAGAGACATTTTATTGATATAAATATTACAATTAGGTACTGTGAAATTGTGGGGCGGAGGCAATGGCGAAGAACCACTGGCGGAAGTAGAAGGACACGAGCCTCATAGAGTTTCTAGGATAGCGTTTCATCCGTCCGGACGATTTCTTGGCACGTGTTGCTACGACGCATCTTGGCGATTGTGGGATTTAGAGCAGCAAGCAGAGGTACTTCATCAAGAAGGTCACTCTAGAGCTGTACATTGTATTAGGTATATTTTCTCTTATATATGATTCCCTTAATTGATTTTTCTTGTATATCAAGTCGATCTTTATTACATATTTTTATGGTTACTCAGCTTTCAGTGCGACGGAAGCGTTTGCGCTACAGGCAGTCACGATTCTTTTGGTAGAGTATGGGATTTGCGTACCGGCAGATGTATAATGTTTATGGAGGGTCATCTAACATCCATCTACGGCGTTGATTTCTCGCCGAATGGTTTTCATATAGCGACAGCGAGTGAGGATAACACTTGCAAGATATGGGACTTGCGAAAGAGGACCTGCATATACACGATACCGGCGCATACCAGCTTATTGTCCGATGTGAAATACCAGAGAATAGAAGGACAATATTTAGTTACTGCATCTTACGACAACACAGCCAAGATCTGGTCCAATAAAACGTGGCAACCGCTCAAGGTGTTACCAGGTCATGACGGAAAAGTCATGTGCGTCGATGTGTCTCCTGATCACAAATATATCGCGACTACTTCGTATGACAGAACTTTTAAATTATGGGCTCCAGAATAAACCGACTGAGAGAATATTCTTTCTAAAATTATTTCAAGTAGTTTATAAAAATTTACCTTCTTTGGCATTTCTTATTTATATAATATAACAAAGTATGTAATATAATATACTTGTGTAAAACAAATAAAATCACATTTCATTTATTGATCATTTAATTATAGCGATTGTATGGGGTTTACTATGCATTTATTGATTGTGTAATCGTACAATTTTGTATACAACAGTTTTAATAAAAATTAATTTCTCTGAAAAAGCAATAATATATTGCTTATATTGGAGAGATATAATTCTTACTAAATGTGCAACATGAAATTACAATCGGAAATATTCTTAACGCTCGTACTGCGCATTTTAAAAATATGTCTTCCGTGAAATAGGTCTTATAATCGCGTATAAACTTTTGACGTTATTTATAACTGGGGCAGCTGCCCCAGTTCAATAGGAGCACCGTCGATGTTTATACCTCGACAAAGAGTCACGAACATGTTAACTACAGAATTCGAACTCTTGTGCCGAGGTTTGCCGAGTACATTTCAAGATGAGAACCAAAAGAGGAAGACTTCGCATGCTACTCTTATATTATTAACAAACTTTCAATGAAATTCTGAAACAGCATCCTTTAAAACTTTCATTGTAGATTTTACACTGTTATACCGACAGAATTTCTCTTTGGGAAATGTAATTCACTTTTTATTTATTTTCAAATTGCAGTTTTGATATTTCACAGAATATGTTTACTTGTAAAAATAAAATATAACATATTATTTAAAGAAATTAAAATTATTATAATAATTTATTAAATGTCAATTTATTAATATCAGGAAGGGAATCTAAGATTTATAATCTTAAAAGAAAGCAGTAATTACATTTATATTCTAAATGATAGTATAACTACATATTTCTATTGCGTTATATTTTTCTTGTCAATAAGCTATATCGACGCAATTAAAATTTCAATTTCGACTCGATACATATGTATCGAATCGAAATTGTCAGTAGTGATCGGAAAAAACTATCGTTTTTATTTGATTTAGGGCCAATTTCACCAAGTCCGGTTAGATTAACCGATGGTTAA